AAGAAGGTCCCTCCATCCCATGAAACTCACAACAAAGAGGGGGACCACCTTGGGTTGGCTCATGAGAAGATGGAATGTTGGGTCAAGGGCCATTTGCAGAGAGATACTGCCATCTAGTGGTCTTGCTCTGATAGTGCAGTCCACCTGCACCTGTTGACTTTGTGATGGGATTCTGTCCATCAAAGATTCATCTAGTCCACGAAACTTCCTTCATTTATCTATGATCCAAAGTTTCATAGTGGGAAAGTGGAAAGCGGCCATGAATTTCCTGAGCGCCTGTCACACATCTTGTTCTGCACCACACAGAGCTGCCATGTAGTGTGTGCCCGTGATGTCCTTGGATGACCTTGAAGCTTCTTGGAACCGGTCAGGATTTCCTGAAGCTTCTCACTGGTCTCTTGCAGAATGATCCTATGCACAATCCTCAATAAGTGAGCACAAGATTGTGGTGCTAAAATTTGCTTGGGATGCACAAACAAAGAATTGGCCAGACAATGGGGAAAGCAGAGCAGGAAGCCATGGGCAAAGCGGGTGTCTCTCAGTGCCCTGTTAGCTGTTACTGTGTCAATGAGGGATGTGTGAGGAATCTTAGTTGTGTAGTTTTGTTTGTTAGTTTCTCCACTTTGTGTTTTTCTTTTGTGCTGTGTGTAGCAGAATTCCCCTCTCCCCAAAATGTTGTCTTTCTTTTTATTATTCCCCTTTATTACTTCCCAAAATGTTGCCATTATTATTGTTATTGCTATTGTTAGTATATAATGTATTGTTACTTAATACTTATTATTAAGTATTTATATGTGTCAATAAAATATGGTTCTGTAGATCCTCATTTGATCTCCTCACTGCACTGTCAATGAAAAGGTTTTGAGAGATATGCATAAGAAAATGGAAGAAATGTTAAAATTTCAAGTTGTTAAATCTTCTTTAAGTCCTCGGACAGCTCTTGTAGTATGAGTGAGAAAGCCAGATATCATTAACAGATGTGTGTGGAACATAGGAAATTAAATTTGTAACAAACGCTGATGCTTCTTTCCTGACATGAATAATCAGCAATTATTCAAAACATAGGAACAGAGCGAGTCAGAAGGGGTCTCCCGGGCCATCTAGTCTGACCCCAGCTCCACTCAAGACATGCCCACCATGTGTATGTCCAAAACCACCGACCCAGGTGGGACTTGAACCCACAATCCCCAGCTCCGGAGGCTGATGCCTTATCCATTAGGCCACTGGGCCACTTCTTAGAACAGACCAAATGGATTCCCTCTTGATAAGGGAATAATAACTTTGATGTCTTCATCCCTGCCTTTGTTGAGGTAGGAAAGCACCAAGAACAGGATAAAGCACCTGCTTATTGTTGCAGGAAATATGAGCCAGTGCTTTGTTCCAGATCAAGTGCTGCCATTTTTAAAAATTGGACAAGTCTTGCATGTTTTTAGAGGAGTGCCGGAGTGGTTAGATTAGTTCTTTTGTTCAGTGTAGAAAGTAGAAAGTATAGAAAGTAGAAACAGTGTAGAAAGTTGGTTTGTGGCATTAGCACATGTGGTCTTCATTTGGAAATGGCAGCCAGCCATGGATGCACCGATTTTACTCTAAAGCATTCTTACCACATCATTAACTTAGGCCTTTTCGCTCTTGCCTGGGTTCCACTGCAGCGATACTGGAGTTGGCACTTGTCTCCCAGAGAGAAAGACAAAGTTAACATTCATTAACTCACACAAAAACCCAGCTAGGGAACCATGGAAAGGACCCTCGATACTGTTTTTCAGTCTACCTCTCCCTTGCACTCATCCTATTTGTTGGTTAGGGTTAGGTTAAGGGTTACACCACGTTTTAAAAAAGGATCCAGGGGGGTCTAGAAAGTTACAGTGTGGCTAGCTTAATGCTGTTCTTGGTAAGTTGTCTGAAAGCATTACTAAAGAAATGAAAAATATAATGATATGGAAGGATAAATTCTGCTGAGGAAAACATCACCGTGGCTTCTGCAAAGGTAAGTCCTGCCTCACTAACCTTTAAGATTTCTTTGAGAGTGGTCAGGGGTGATGCAGTGGACATTGTCTTCCTGAACTTCCAAAAAACTTTTGACAAAGTCCCTTACAAAAGTCTTGAGGAAAGTTAGCAGTGATGGGGTAATACAGGTGGTTCTCCTATGGAACAGAAGCACATTGAAGAACAGAAAGCAGAAAGTGGGAATAAATGGTTAGTTCTCTCAATGGAGGAATGTAAACAGTGAGGTTCCACAAGGATTATTTTGGATTGGTCCAAAATTTGGATTGGTCCAAAATTGGTCCAAAACATTAGAACCAATGTTTTTCAGCTTGGCCATAAATGATCTGGAGCTAGGAATGAGGAATGATGTGGCCAAGTGTGCTGATGAAATCAAATTATTTAGGGTGGTTAAAACAAAAGGGATTGTGTGGAGATCCAAAACATCTTACCAGTCCAGGGTGAAGGTAAAGGTAAAGGTTTCCCCTTGACATTAAGTCCAGTCATGCCTGACTCTCGGGGGCGGTGCTCAACTCCGTTTCCTAGCCGAGGGAGCCAGCGTTTGTCCGCAGACAGTCTCCCTGGTCATGTGGCCGGCATGACTAAACACCGAAGTGCATGGAATGCTGTTGCCTTCCCACCAAAGTGGTACCTTTTTACCTACTTGCATTTGCATGCTTTTGAACTGCAAGGTGGGCAGGAGCTGGGATGGAGCAACGGGAACTCACTCCGTTGTGCAGATTCGAACCGGCGACCTTTCGATCAACCAGCCCAGCAGCACAGTGGTTTAAACCACTGTGCCACCTGCAGTCTCTGCAGTCCAGGATAATGGGCATTAAAATAGTAAACATGGTTGAATGCCAGCAAGTATAGATTTTCTGGTTGTCGTGAACAACCTGAGGAAAATGTTGACTCAGGGTGAAGCTGCTGTGGAAAAGGCAGACTCCATGTTAGGCCTAATTAGGAAATAATTTTCTCTGTACACAAGATAATTCTGAGGCATTTTTACTAATGGATTTTCTGAAATGCATGTTTTCTTGTAGAGATGCCGCTTCACTCTCATCACATAGACAAAGAGCATGCTGGGATTCCTTGCTCAAGCTTTAGTGCTCAATGCCATATGAGGCAGTTCTTGAAGGAGAGAAGGGAGCTGCGTGAGGTCCGAAATTCTAGAAGGGGAAGATCTTGGCCACGGGGATCCCACTTGTGAGCAAACACAGACACGTTGACCAGGTAAGACATTTGTTTCTCTCTTCCTAAACTGAAAATCTTTTAGCTGTTTGTATTGTTTTGACTTTTGTATATGGGAATTTAATACTGTTTTTATGGCTTCTGTTTTTTATGCAATGGCTTTTTATTGCATCTGTATTTTATGTGGTCTTTTCTCATCTTTCATTTTGTAGTTTGCCAGTTACAGAGCAAGCTACAGCTAGAGAAGTGAAATGGCTGCTGATAAGGATCACAATACCAATAAATATAATATCAAAAGTTCTCTTCTTTTGTGATGAACCTCTCTCCCTCTCTCTCTCTCAATCTCTCTCTCATGCTTTCTCTCCCTGTGTGTTTTATATCCCTCCTCAAATACCATCTCTCTTCCAAGCCTTTGATGGAGGCTGCTAAGGAGCAGTTCCTCAGGGGCACTGCAGCACGTTCATGATCTCTCCCTCTGGACCACAGATGGAACCACACCCACAGATGCAGGCGGAGATCCATTCCTGGATCTTCAGTTCTCCGTCCCCTCTCACCTTTTCTAAGTCTCCTTGAACTCTTTGCCTGTATGGTCAAAACTGCAGCCTTATAAGAAAGTTAGGGGGGGGAGAAACTGGTGCAGGGGTGGGAGAGGAGAGAAGGGGAAGATGAGAAAATGTAATCTGCAGTGTTCCAATCCCCTCTTGATCCACCAAAAGATAAAACAAAATACTTTTTGCATGTGATATAGAGGTAGGGAGACAAAGTCACACCCTTTCTTCTTTACTCAGCCCAACTCCTGATAGAAATGCTTCCCATAGGATTGGGCCCTTGCTCTTCATCCTGTGCAAAACGATGCTGAACCTCTGAAATACCCCTTATTATTGTATTGCATTGTACTGGGATTATTTTATTCTATACCACCTAATAATCTTTGCTCACATTCATGCTTTGCCTCTTGTTATCTTCCCCACGTCGGACACATGTTCAAGAGCAGAAATTCATGTGCAGAAATTCTGATGACTTCTTTGGTTGGTGGACTTACTGTTCCAGGAGTCACAGGAGTGATGTGAACTCGCACAAATGAAAATGAGAATAAAGCAGAACGATCTTCAAGGGGGAACCTGAAGAACTGCATTGAGTTCAAGCCTTAATGTTTCACCCAACCTGAGTTGCAGAACAGAGTTATGGAACAAAGAAATGAGGTCCAGTTTGATCCTTTGCTCAGCGATGCCTTAGTTTCATACAGACACTTCTTTCCTGTTCTCAACACCCATTCCCTTCACTTCCAGCACTCAGAAAAGAAAGTCCACTTGTAAATCTCCCAGCATTTCTTTTCACGTCACAACTGAAAGCGAGCTTTTATAATTTATTATGTATTTTATAATGTATAACAACCCTATTTTCACTAATACCAGGAAGAGTTTCTTTTTAGAAATATTTATAAGAGAAGCAGCAGAAATAATTGCAAACTTGAATAGGATTGCTCTACAGTTATTAGGAAACGGATACATGTCTGCCTTCTTTTTTCTTCAGCAGGAGGAAGAATTCAACCAAAGGAAGTTACGTCCCCTAAAAGAGACTGACCATGAAGTAGCGTTGGATGACTGTGGAATGCATGAAGCATGTTTTTTCTTGAAATATCAGTTTCTGTTGTTCCTCCAAATGACGCATTTTAAGTATAATTCAATATGTTTTTGAACCAAGACCTACTTCAGAACATTTGGAAGTGTAACCTTGGTTGAATAACTAATTTCAATCTGCACGTTACTCCAAGAGGCCGGTACCACATTGATCTGAACAGGCTAAATTGTTCGGGCGTCCCTGGCATGATGACCACACCGACGTCTCAGTCCTCCTTGGACGGTGGATCCAAGCTTGGTATGAACGAGACTGACGTGGTATATTTTAGGAATGAGAGCATTATCTTTTCTACTCTTACTCTTGCTCTCTGCCTTTTTGGATTTATGGGGAATGGAACCATCATCTGGCTTCTTGGCTTCCATATAAAGCGGAATCCGTTCTCCACTTGCATTCTTCATTTGGCAGTTGCTGACCTTGGGGTCCTCATAAACCTAGCATTAATAGCAACCTCTTTGATTCAATTACCTGAAAAGGAACACATCACTTTGGCTATGACACCTACCGTTTACAGTATATTGCGCATCATGTACTGCACCAGTCAGCTTCTTCTGATAGTGATCAGCATTGACCGGTGTGTGGTGGTCCTCTTTCCAATTTGGCATCGATGTCACCGGCCACCCAAATTGCCCACCATCATCTGCATCCTCATATGGGTTCTCTCCTTCACCCTCTTTGCAATTTCTGTGCTTGTTTTGCATGTTCGCAAAGACCCACTGATCTTGGGTCTTCTGACTGTCCTGCTCTACCCTCTGATGGCTGCCTCTACTCTCATCCTGTTTGTGAAGGTCCACTACAAACAGCACCACTGTCAGAAAACAACAGCTTCAATAGTAATTCTGCTTGCCCTTTTATTTTTCCTCATCTTCAATATTCCAGTGGGTGTCTACGTGGTCATATCTAATCTCTGGTCTGCCAATGGCATTGTTCAAAGCATCACAATCTGTGTTCTTTCTGGGAAATCAAACTTTACTATTTCAGTTGGAAATGCCTCTAAAATAAGGCCTTATCTGTCTATGCTTTCTGAGAACCTTGCTTTTCTCTGCATCACTCTAAACAGCAGCATCAACCCAATTCTTTACTTCTTTGCTGGAAGAGAAAAGAAGGATTGGTTTGCATTGTTCAGGATGAAAGTGGCCCTGCAGAAGCTCTTTCAGGAAGAGGAAGACCAGAGGCAAGTGGAGTAATCCCAAGTACAGATTGATTGATTGATTGATTGATTTGAAACATTTCTATGCCGCCCCATTCGCCGAAGCCTCGGGGCGGCTCACAACATAAATTAAAATATAATACATTAAAAATATAAAACAAATTAACAATATAAAAGAAGTCGCCCTGGCCAGATAAAATGAGCAAATAATATTAACAATTAAAATGACGTTTAAATAAAAAGGTATTTGCCTGGCGCCGAAAAACAAATAACGACGGCACCAGGACCTCTCTGGGGAGCGCATTCCATAGATTGGGCACCACCGCAGAGAAAGCCCTCCTCTGAGTACCTACCCTCTTAATTTCTTTCACGGAGGGTTCCCGGAGAAGGGCCTCTCCCGCAGATCTTAAGGGGAGGGCGGGCGTATATGATTCTGGCATTTTCCGCAACTCACAGATTATGCTGTCTTTCCTGCGTTTTTTCAGGGATGCACATTCCTTGAATGCAACACTTTCCAAGTTCCCAATACATATATACATATGCATATAAATAAGTACATAATATGCAGATGTGCTTGTACACATCTCTGTAAAGCACAGTTCCCCCCCCCCCAGTGTAATCCTCCACAACACAATTCATAATTCTCTTCCTGCATGGGTGCAAAGGTCCAGAAATTACAAATCACTTGATTTCCCTAAAAAATAAACCTAAAAAACTTCTCAGCCATCCCAGATAGGCTGAGACACCTTCCCCATCTCACTGATCCTTGATGGAAATCCTGCTGGTTCTGGAAGGAAATGTACAGATTATACAAGGGCAGGAACCCATGGTAGATGTGGTAACCATGGCCATTTATATGAAATAATGCACTGTCAGCTCACGTCTCTTGACCCCCTCCTAAGCTGAGGACAAGGTGGCACAGAGCTGTGAATTGCTGAATCACTTTCTCTTGGTTGCTCCTTCACTGGAGGGCATGGAAAGTGACATGGTGCTTTTAAAACCTGCAGGTGGAGATCTCATAGCCCCAAATCCTTGCATGGCCTCAGACAGCTAACAAGGCTGAAGGAACCCACAAGTGCCCTTGTCCTCTCTCCTAAACACCATCAGAGATGGCTTGGATTCCAAATGAAAGTTCTAAGCTGTTCTCTTTCTGAGTTGTAAACATTTTTTGTATAAATTTTCAAAAAATTAACTCTAGTATAGGTTAAGTGATCCTGTTTAGCATCTTTCAGGGGGTAGGAAATGGGATTCACTCTTGGGTTGGACTTCCCCAGCCATAATCAGCCTCCTGCATGTCTGTTGTCATCCAGGTCCCTATTTAAGATGTATCCTTCCCCTTTCTTCCATGGATACAGAACACGACAAAATGATATATTAGCTTCAGGAACCAATGCACTGCCTGTCCTCCATCCAAATCTATTCATGTCCTTTTCTTACTCCTTTACCCAAATTGGCAGCATGTCCCTCCCTATGTGCCCCGGCGGTGAACTGGGGAAGCACATTTTCAGCACTGCTGAAGATACCCATCAATGTTTCTCCAGGTTCCCATCCTGAAATATCAAAGAGGGGAGCAAACAGCAAACAAGCGTGAAGGCTGTCCTCATGAAGGACTTTAGAAGTGCAGCTAGTCCCCCCCTTATGCTTGAACAGGGAGTGTAATCTCTGTTCCCAGAGCTCTGGCAGAGCATTTTGAATCCTATCAGAAGATTCAGGACTTTGTAATGCTCTCTCTTCTCAGAGCCAATCCTGTTCTGCAGTGTATGTCGAAAAAGCTTCTCCAACTTTTCTCTGGTCCAGTATTCCTGTACCACTCTGTATGTGAATTATGTGTTTCATTCACTGCTCACCTTGTATGTATGTATCTATATGCTGCCTCCCCATCAAAGTTCTCTGGGTGGTTCAGAATATATTTCCAAAGAAGGCAACCTGTTTCCTCAAGATGTGATTTCACTGCTTTTGCATGTCTCCCATGGCTCTAGTTTCTTCCCATGTAATTAGCTTTGCAACACTCTCATGTGAACATGCATGTATGAAAAGATGAGCCAAAATGTTGATATAAACTTGCTTTAAAACACAATTAAAACAGCCTGGCTCTCTCATATTGGCCTCTCATTCACTTGGTCAGTTTAAATAAAATATTCCATAACAGCTCCATGGGATTCCCCCAAGTCTGCATTCAGAGTTGCTGAAGAGATACAGTGGCATATGGTTCTACGTACACGCTTCTCATTCACACCAGCCTGGCCTGGATGAGGTGTACACCAAGGACAGGGTTTGTTGAGAAGGGGCAGAATATGTGGTCAGATTCCCTCATCCAGCATCCCTGAGCAGGGAAGACACCTGGAAGGTCTGAGGAAGAGGAAGGAGACACGAGTAGAGGAAAATCTCTTGACAAGCTGAGACTTGAGCTCTGAGTCCCTTCAATGTGGGTGGATGAGAGAAGCATCAGGGGAGGCTTATCTTGGAAGGACAGTGTCTTGAAGGGAGCTTGAAACAGACATAGAGATGGCATACTTGAGGTTTTTCAGATGGGATGGGTGACTTGAGTGTATGATTCTATGATTATTGCTGTCAACTGCCTAGAGAGCTTTGGCTATGGGCAGTATAAAAATGTAATATAATAATAATATAATAATAATACAGGCACCCAGATGCATTATCTTTCCCCTAAGAATTGGAGGAAGACCTGATATATAGAAACACAGAAATAGAGTGAGTCAGAGGGGGTCTCCCAGGCCATCTAGTCTGACCCCCAGTTCCAGCCAGCTCCGCTCATGACATGCCCACCATGTGGACATCCAGCCTATCCTTGAACACTCTCATGGATGGGGCTTCAGCCACCTCCTGTGGAAGCCCATGCCATACCCTCGGGGTCCTAACAGTCAGGAAGTGCTTCCTGGCATCTAAATTGAACCTCAGTGATCCTCTGAAAACTACTTATGGGTCAAATCAGAGGTGAGGTCCAGTTTATTTGTTGGCTCCCTGGTGCTTCCCTTTGATATTCAGTTTGTCCCTGTTCTCTGTTTCAGCTGCCCCTCAGGACACTTTTAACTTGCAAGTGCTCAGGAAAAATGCCCACTTGTACATCTCTCTGCATTTCTCCTTTTGTTGCAACTGATGCAAGCACATTTTTAGCTTATCTATCCTAACAACACTACTTTCGTTAATAGCGGGTAGGGGTAGGATTTTCAGGCATTCTACATATATATTTAAAAAGCATAATGGATTATATAACTGGGTGACATTCTTCTGTATCGCAAGAATTGTGTCTTTTATTCTAGCAAGAATATTTAAATAAGAAAGAGGACAACATTCCTGAAAGAAGAGCCTGAATATTGCAGAGGGCTCAACAATTCTGGAACTCCTCACTTTCATATGCTCAACCATAGTTCTGTTTGGCCAGGTTTCTGAATAAGCCTTTCAGTATCCTTCTACAAATACGACATGAAAATGTGTACTTAAATAAAATGTTGCAATTTCTTTTCTCTTGCAATCTGCAATTCTATTTTCTCTCAAAACTGTGGATTGTATAATATAGTTCAATAGGTTTATAAACTTATGAGAACATTTGACAACTGTAATGCCCAGTGAATAACTGATTTCTGAACTGCACATTACTCAAAGCAGTACAGAGTTTGTTTGAATTTGAGGAAAAAAAAAAAAAGAATTCCTCAGCTGTTCCTAGCGGGATGCCTGATCTGAATTCAACCTCTCAATCCTACTGGAATAGCTACCAATTTTTTTGGGTAATATCCTTTATCATTAACATTCAAGTTCCAGTTGTTTGGTGTCGTGCTAGTATTTGCATCTTCATTTTTATTATTGTCAGTTTTGGACTTTTGGGCAATGGAACCATCATCTGGCTTCTTGGCTTCCATATAAAGTGGAATGCTTTTACCACCTACATCTTAAAATTGGCCTTTGCTGACTTTAGGCTTGTCCTTTACCTAACAATATTAGAAATAGTTTTGTTACAAGAAGATGCTGCCTTATCTGTTGCTCTGGGGTCCATGTTTGTATCTTCCTGTACCTTGGAGCTCATGTACAACATGGGTCAACTTCTTCTGACCACTATCAGCATTGACCGGTGTGTGGCTGTCCACTTTCCAATTTGGCATCGATGTCATCACCCACCCAGTTTATCCATCTTCATTTGTGTCCTTTTATGGCTCCTCTCCTTTGTGATCAGCGTAATTAATGTACGTCTTGTGTTTCAAGGTCATGGCCCACTGCTCAGGGTTCTTGTGCACGTTCTGATCTGTTACCCTCTGATGGCTGCATCTACTCTGACCTTGCTTGTGAAGATTCGCTATAAACAGCATAACCGCCAGAGGACAAAAACTTTGACTGTAATTCTGCTTACTCTTCTGTTTTTCCTCCTTTTTAGTCTTCCGGGGAATCTTTCTACTCTGATAACGTATTACTGCATGTTCGGTGTCCTTTCTGAGGACATGGCAGTTGATATTTGTTTGCAATGGGATATCTCGGAAAGCCTGGGTCTTATGCTTTGCATATTGTGGTGCATGGGTGTGATCGGTGTTGTGCTTAGCAGCAGCATCAACCCAATGCTTTACTTCCTTGTTGGGAAAGAAAAGAACAGTCAATCTGGGCTGTACAGGGTGAAAGCTGCCCTGCAGGTTTTCCAGGATGTGGAAGACCAGAGGCAGGAAGAACAAACTCAAGTACAAACTCCACTAGGATCCCTTTAAAGCTCCTTCCAACCAGCATCGCTTCTCAAGGGACAGGGATAAGCATGGCATGAAAACCTGTAGCTGTTTTCCGAATATACATTCAGGTGTATAAAATGAATGCATTGCAAAATATGCAGAATGGGCGTTGCATTTTTTTCAGATACACACATTTGTTGAAAGTGATGTGTGTTCCTGATACATACACAATTTTGCTTGTGTATTTCTTTCTAATGCATGCATGTTTAGTTTGCACCCTCCATTATCCACTTCTGAAAACTGTAAATATTACCATGTAACTGTCCTTGCATGTATTCTAAGAAGTACAAATTCCACTATTCCCAGTAAAAGAAAAGCGAACAAAATTCTCATCCAACTGGGAATTGGGAAATCGATTCCACTAAGGCTCCTTCCCTGTCCCACTTAAGCACTTCACCAGGATGGCATTTCTGCTGGTTCTGGGCAGTAAATGTGGAGTCCCTAGAGGGGTCACGAACCCATGGAAGATGCAGTGGTGATGTGATGCCACCATGGACTGACAGCAGGTGTGTCAGATCAGCTCCTGGCCTCCTCTTTGTCACCCACTTTCTCTTGGTTTCCCCTTGACTGCTGCTGTGGGTTTAAGGCAACTTCCTCATTCAGGTGGAAGTTTCACAACCTCAGTTTCTTTCATGCTCTGCGACAGCTGCCAGGAATGAAGGTATTCTCCTTCTCCTCTGTCCTATGAAACTATCTGAGATGGTTTTGATTTCAGATGGAAGCTTTGAACTAGTCACATTCTGTGCTTCTCTTTCTTTCATTCATTCTGTCATTAATTACAGTGCTTGGTGTAAGAACTATTTGCTGCTCACCTGTAAGCCAATTCCAAAAGGATTCTTGATTTCGCTGTCCAGTATCCCAACTAAAGGGCATCACTTGCAATCTTCAAGCTGCCCCTTGCACAATCGCATTCACAAGATGAACACATAGTCTTTCCTCCCTGCAAATAACTTACCGTCTTTCTATATCCCCATATCCCATTGGCAGAAAGGTTTTCTTTCTCTCTGGGCCCCTGTGCAAATTGGAGGAGTACATTTTACAACAGCCCAAAAGAAAACCATGGGTGTTCCTTCAGTGAAAGGCATGAAGTAAGTCAATGAGCTTCCAGTCCTAAAATTTGTGTGTGTGATACAGGGGTGGGGAATAACAAGCAACTGAAAACTCTTTTTTGGGAAGTACTTCTGAGAAACAAGGAATCTCTTCTTCATACTTTTTAAAGATTGAATTCTCAGCACTTGTGTTCTGGCAGTAATTTTAATTCCTGTCCAAGAAGACATCAGAATTTTAAAATTCTCCATCTTCTCTGAGTCATGCTTTAGGTGAAACCTGAGTGCTATTATCTGGCATGGAAGAAAATGTTTTTCAGTATCTCTCCTTTCTGTTACATTTCTGCAACTCTGCATTTGTAGCATGTGTTTAACTGAGTGCTAAGATACCACTGTGTTACTCTCACATTTCCAGGGAAAGCTTTCTATTTCAAGGCCTGGTTTCATTTTCTTTGCATATCTTTTATGACTTCAGCTTCCTCCCTCAGGCCTTCGTAACTGAAATGCTTTGTCATATTTGTATTAAAACACATTGAAATGCTTTTCCCTGTCTCATTAATATCTCTTTAATGTTTTCAGTTTCAAATGACCAAAATCTAAGGCGATTCCATGGCAACTTTGGGAGCTTCCCCTTAGTCTGCATTTAAAGGTGCCAAAGAAATTTGCATGCATGGGTCTCAATTAGCTTACTTTTCCTTCCACTTACATTTAAGTCACTGGAATTATGAACAGTGATTCATGCTCTGGTAACCTCCTGGTTGGATTACTGTAATGCGCTCTACATGGGGCTGCCCTTGAAAACGGTCCGGATAATTCAGCTGGTACAGATTGGAGCAGCCAGGTTGCTAATGGGGACTGGTCGTTATTCTCCACTGGCTTCCAGTTGAAGTCTGGGCCCAATTCAAGGTGCTGGTTTTGACCTATAAAGCCCTGAACAGCTTGGGACCAGGATACCTGAAGGAATGTCTCCTTCCATATATGCCCTCATGCCCCATAAGATCTGTGGGAGAGGCCCTGCTCTGGGAACCCTCCCTGAAGGAGGCAAAAAGGATATCTACTCAGAGGAGGGCCTTCTCTGTGGTGGCGCCCAGATTTTGGAATGCGCTTCCCGGAAAGGTGCGCCTGGTGCTGAGTTTATATTGTTTTTGGCGCCAGGTTAAAATCTTTTTATTTAACTGTTATTTTAAAAACTAATTTAAATTTTAATGTTTAACAGTCACTTTTACTTAACTTATTTAATTGTATTTTTTTTTTGGTTAATTGTTTTTTATTGCTGTTTTCTTGTGGTTGTTTTAATGATTGTAAGCCATCCCAAGATGCCATGCATAAGGGACGGGATACAAAAGTTTTAGATAGATAGATAGATAGATAGATAGATAGATAGATAATGAGGTGTGCCAAAGCTGAGAAAGTATTTTGAGATGATGAGGTCACTCCTCCCTTCATTCAAGCCTACCTGTGGCTTCAGAATGATCAAGCAAAACATAATCCCTGTTGAGAGCTGGAGAATTTCTGCTGGCAGCTGGATGGGTCTTGACTCAGAATGCTGGTTGACAGGCTGGTAGACTCAGATCCGGGAGAGCTGCTATGTGGTTATACCTGGAAGTCTGGCTCATTTGCTCTGAGCTCACATGCCACCTACTGCCAATGAAGGCTGAGTTGGATTTTGACCCACAGACTTCTTCCTCTGAGATGGGTCTCAGTTTGTGCATTCTTAAAAAACACTGATGAATTTCATGCAGTTTGTAAAACAGGCAACTTGCATGAATTACAATATTTTATGTATTTTGCACAATCGACATGAATTTAATACAGTGGGAGTAACATCATTCAGTTTTGTTTATTCCATGTAATTTTGAGTGCCAATTTGTTCCAAACATGCACAACACCAGGATTTAGGCCACTTTGTAACTTTATGCCAATTATGTGAAGTGATCGCAAATGACAGAGGTGATCAGCAGACCATTTCTGCTGCTGTGAAAGTAGCCCAGAAATGGCACCATCCCCGTTGCCCATGAACAACACCAATGGCCAGCCTTCTTCTATCAGTGAGAAGGATCATCCGGCTTCAGTGTGGTAGAACTGCTTCCCTGAAACCATGGAAAGATACAGTGTTTTGTTGTGCAATGTTCATATTGAAGAAGAAGAAGAGAACTGAATAAATGTCCTGCTGGTCAGACCAAAGATCCATCTGGTCCTGCACTCTGTGGGCACAGTGGCCAACCAGCTGCCCGCAGGATCCCTCCAGCAGGAGGGGTGCAAGATCTCCTCCTGCCCATACTCCTCAGCAACCTGTGCATGCAGGCAGGCCACCTCTGGTGAAGGAGGGAGCGCATGGCCAGCAAGGGCATCCTCCCTCATGAATCTGTCCAATTGCCACTTCCTATGGCAGCAAATTCCACATGATTTCCATCGAAATGGAGCTCCCACATTCCCCACTCATCTCTTCCTCTCCTGTGATATATCCTAGAAGCTCCATTTCCATGGAAATCATGGGACCGTTTGACTGGGAGGTCCAGGCAAAAGGCTCTGAGCCACAGAAACTGGCCAGATTGCTTGCTGTGATGAATCTATGAGTCGCCAGGCTAGACTGGAGATCCAAGTGGGTGCCTTCTTGGCTTGGCACTCTGCCCTGTTTTTGAACCAATCATGGCAAGGGCAGTTAAAATCATATTGACTTCTCCAGATGCGACACAGCTTGGAGGTCTACTGATCCCTTCACAAGATGGCTGGAAGGGCAGACTCAGGGTGGGAAGAGCAAGGGGGCACCTTCCTACTTGCTCCACTCTGCACAGGAGCCTGCGATCCTCTGGGTTCAGGGGCTTACAGGTAGTGGTAGCATTATTACTGTGTTACATTTAGATCCTTGACTGGAAATTCTGATTCTAAAGGATTTTCAGAATATATTCTTCATGCTTCTGTGAGAAGATGGCCATTCACTGACCTAAAGTTTTTGAAAGTCAGAGAAAGAAAGGTGATTTATAAGGGTGGTTTTGCATACTGGAACTTAGACCTACACTCTTGGCCCTGCATTTAGATAAGAAGAGAAAGGGGCAGGAGTTTCACTGAATTTGATCACCTTTTTCCAGCTTTACCAACACAAGCCTTTCAGAATTTATTCCGGCTCCTCCATGCCTAGAATGTTACCATTCTCTTGTGGGGGAAAGAATCCCTTAGGGAAGAGATCAGCATTCAGCCGCTGCTCCATTCTTTTCTGAAGAGAAGAATGTCAGAGACTTTGAATAATTCACAGATTACATCTTAGAATCGGATTGTGTTTTCCCAAGTGTAAACTGTAAGGTCCTTTTGAGACCTGGAAAGATATTTCTGCCCAGCACAGGAGGCTGTGAAGGCATCTGAGCAAAGGAACAGAAAGTTGCCAATGTCTACAGGATCTCCGCTAAATGATTCATTAGAAATATCATTAAAATCTTTGGGGAGCTCATTAAAATGTCATTAAAATCTTTGAGGGTGCCTTTACCTGCAGAGTAGAGTGTGAAAGCGCTTTGGAATGGACTCCCTCAAGAAGCACACCTGACTCTCACGTGCTTATTCTTTAGAAAGAATCCTCACATAGTTTTCCTTTTCATAATGTGTAGTTTTAATGTTTTAGGGAGCAATTCTGTGATCTGTGTGTCTGAGGGACTACAGGGCAAGTTAAGAAAATTGGGAACATTGTGGGAATATAAGAAACAGATGATTGAATGGATAGACCCGACACTTTTTTCATTACAGAGGTAACAGCAGAAAGTGGAGGTCAGAATATGGGAAGGAATCCATGCTATTCATGTAAGATGGAGAGGAGCCCAACATGTGGCTTGGAATCTATCAAACAGAAAACTAAAAATTTCAGCAATTTGTGTTTGCACTTGCATGTTTTGCAAGCTGGGAGTGGGAAGGGTGTGTTAAAACTGTGGCTTGTAAAGGGAGAGGTGCAGGGCTTTGTGAGCAGTGGCTGTAGAAGTGAGAAGCACAAGTTCTCATTTGCCTGCAAAGGCTGATAAACCAGACTCTGTCTTTGCCGATAAGCAAAACTCACAGGATCTGGAGGCAGTGAAGGAAAGCTAGAGGGAATTAGAGGGGTTTTCCTCCAGCACCACAGTATCAGTGCTTATCCCCCAGGACCTGAGAGACTTGGAAGAAATGTTGCAGAGGTTGCAGAGGTCAAGGAGACGCTTGCTGGGTTTGTGTGTCCAAGGAGCTTGATTTGCATTAAGACATTTCTCCTTGTTTGATGGAGCAATTACCCTGAGCAAGGAAAGAAGAGGCAGCTCGGTTTGCATGCAAGGTAGGCAAATAGGCTTCACTGAGAGGCAGAGTAGGAAGAGGACTGGGGACTGGTTGAGGGAAAGAGTTTGGGAGGAAATTGGCAACATGTAATAGAGAAAGAAAAAAGGGTGGAAAGAAGGGAAAGAAAGGGGTAGAAGGAACCAAATCAACAAAAGAACATGCGAGTAGTCAAGCCTTCTCCATCCTGATGCTCTTCAGGGGTTTGGGATGTCAGTTCCCATCAGCACCAGGCAGCAACATGGAGAAAGGTAAGGGATGACAGAAACTGTAGTCCAAAAGAATTGGGGGGGCACCAGATTAGGGAAGTCTAAACTCATTAGCCTTTCTGCTGAATATCAGGAGCATTTTCTGCTTCTTCGGTTGCTCACTGTTCTTTTGGATTCTGGGAGATCTATGGAAATGTTTTCAGCTGTTGGAAAAGAAAAGCAATTTAATTATTCCAGGTCTTGAAGTAAATTAAAAATCATCTTCTGCTGCTTCCTTCCCTCCCTTTCTCCCTCTGGAGTTCTGCCTGGGATTCCAAGATTAACCTGCTTAAGACTGATGAAAACATATACTACAAACTTTATTTACCGCTCCATCCCAAATAAACACCAAAGGAGAAATTCTATGCATGTTTAGGCAGATAAAAGTTTCTACAACCCCCAGTAGTACCAGGTAGTTGTCCAGTATTTTTTCAGTCTATATATGCATAGAATTGCACCTTAACTCTTTTTCTTGCGAAGAACTCAAAGTGGCTTACAGTATTCTGCTCCTCCTGCTCACAATCTTTTCCCCATAACAACACCCCTGGGAGGTAGGTTGGACTGACAGTTTGCGACTGGCCCATAGTCACCCAGCTGGCTTTGTGGCTGAGCAGGGACTCATCCCCAGACTGCACTCTTAACCAGTACAGCACACTGGCTATTAATATCCTTGAAATTATATTCTCCATATTTTGAAAGAAATGATCAGGCTAGGTTCCTTAACAGGCAGGGAACAAAAATGGAGAAATGGAGCAGTCCTAATATTAGAAATGCTAATTTAATTAATGTTAATGCTGCACTTGGTTAAGACTGTTTCTCCTTACTTTTGCTCTTACCTACTGATTAGAGGGAAGGAAAGACTCCAGGAGAGACACCCCATATGCAGGTAGAAGATTGTTTGTTTGTTTGTTTAGAGTATTTGTATGCCGTCCCATTGCATAGCCTTGAGATGGCTTACATAAAATAAAATAAAACATAATACAAATAAAATCCAAATCCACCCTGGCTGCAGATTAAAACCTATAAGCTGATGTTAAAAGTTATTAAAATATTGTCAAAATAAAAAGGTCTTAGTCTGGTGCCGAAAAACAAATAACGACCGTGCCAGGCGGACCTCTCTGGGGAGCGCATTCCATAGGCAGGCCTCCACCGCAGAGAAGGCCCTCCTCCAGGTACTTTGCCTCCTAATCTCTTTCATGGAGGGTTCCCAGAGGAGGGCCTCTGCTGCCGATCTCAGGGGGTGGGAGGGCAAATACGGAAGAAGGCGTTCCTTTAGGTATCCAGGTCCCAAGCCATTCCCAAGATGAACTTAGCTGTTTTGTCAAGCATTAGAGACAACCCTGAGTAATATTTGGATTTCTATTTTCAGAACAAAAAGGACCAGCTGTGATGTGCTTGTGTCTCCCAACAGCCCAAGATGCATCCTGAAGTGCTACTTAGTAGAATGAAGTCCACCTATACCTGTGTCATTTCATCCCAAAATGGTGTCCATACAGATTCATGATTTCTACATGAATTTGACCATTTTTTTCCAGTTGATAAGGAAATGGGATAGAACAGGCCCGTAGATGGACATATTTTAAATTGACACATACTGGAAATAAACTGATTCAGCTGGCTTTCAGTGAAATTTCTAATTGCTTCATTTTATAAGTCAAGCAAAACCAGGCTGAAAACATCTGTCACATCCTCATTCCTTTAAACAGCAGGGAACTGAATCTTCTGCTCTGTCCTTCTAGAGAAGAAATGGCAGCACTGGAACAGAAACTGACACTTTTCAGCCCATCCTATTCATCCCCAGTGAGTGCCTCCCTTACAAACAATGGCTCCATTGCAGAAAACTCTACTTGTGGTTATGTTCGGAAAGATCACAACATCAATGATGGGGGAATATTTTCAATGATCTTCATCACTCTTTTCATCTGCCTTGTTGGGTTTGTGTGTAATGGAATGGTCATCTGGCTCCTTGGCTTCCGCATTAAGAGGACTCCCATCAACACGTACTTACTGAATCTCTCCATCGCAGACTTTGGTGTGGTCACAAGTGTGATTGCAATTGATGCGTATTGGCTTGTAGCCAAATTGGATTACAGCCAGTACCGCGACCCTCTGAAGTCAATCTTTCGCACTCTTTTCCTGTTCATGTACAGCAATAGTCAATTTCTGTTGACAGTCATCAGCATCGACAGGTGTGTGTCCGTCTTCTTCCCACTTTGGTACCGATGCCACCGGCCACCCTACCTCTCCACCGTGGTGTGTGCAGCCATATGGATCCTCACCTTCCTTCTTTCTCCTCTTCATGCCATTCTCTTCCTAACTATACAGTACTGTGACCTGTGGTTCCACCTGTTTCTTCTGAATGGTTTGGTTTTCACATCCATCATGTGTGTCTCCACCATAACCCTGTTCATTAAAGCCTGTTTAATATCATCACAGCATAAGCGGGGAAAACTTTTAACCTCCATCTTGCTTGCACTCCTCTTCTTCCTGCTATTTGCTTTTCCAATGAATGCCATTCAGTATCTCTCCTTTCGTATTCCCTATTTTGATAACCCTTATCTCTATGAATACGCCTACATATGTGCCTCTCTGAACAGCGCCGTGAACCCAGTCATCTATTTCCTGGTAGGAAGGCAGAAGAACACTCAATCTAGGAGTATGAAAGTTATTCTGGAGAAGGTTTTCACGGAGGAAGAAGAATACAGGGAGGCACCTGACTTCCCTGTTCAAACCCAAGTATGATACCCCCAAAAAAGCATAACGCTGCTGGCATTGTCACTATATTTCCAACAATGCATGTTTTTTTACACTTTATATTCAAGAATATCAGATAATCCCTGGTTTATCTTAAAGTGTATATACTTCCTGTAAATTCAATAGCAAGAATGGTGGAAAAATAATTCATTTTGGCCTTTGTACATCATAATAAAGGTACTAAGAGTCCTAAGGACCATAAATGACTCAAGGACATGAATAAAAGGACTTAAGGACCATAAATGACTTAAGGACATGAAGGACCATATTTTCCCATAACATCCTACCTGGCTTGAAGACCTTCTGGGGAGATCTTTTTCATGGTCCCACCACCCTGACAGGCATGCTTGGTGGGAAAGCAGGAGATGGTCTCCCAATGATGGTCTCTGGAAATCCCATCCTAGGGAGACTAGGTTGGCTCCTTCCTGAAAACCTTTTTGTTCCTGCAGGCATTCGGGAAAGGCCTGTGGGTTTGCACTGGATTAGTTTTACTCTTCATATTGTTGGTAGTGTTTTTAAATCTGTGTATTTGCTTGATTTTAATATCCAATCTGATGTTATTATATTTTAAACTTTTGTATTTTTGGAATGCTTTCTTTGTATTAATTTTAACCTTGGGTCACAATCATGGGGAATAGATGGAATATAAATAGTAGAAGGGGAAGGACAAATTTACTGCAACAAGGAAATGAATTGCTTTCAAACAAAATGCATACACTGATATTTATTGTAGTTTGCAGAAGTCAGAACAAACAGAACTCCTGGGTTGAAGACTGTATAGCTTATGATGGCACTATCCATTTAACAAAATGAGACTGCAAAATAGGCCAATGATAAAGCACATATAGAAAACAGGTTTGAATTGGAAACCCATAGAAAAATAAACACTAGTTTCTCCACATCCATGTAAGTTGTGATGAGATGACTGTGCCCCCTGGCCTCGGCCTGTGCCATGGAGGACTCCACTCATTAACCCACCTTCAAGCTTTAAATCTGCCTGGAAACAGGGTCACTGCCTTTTGGGACGCCCTTCTAAAAAAGAAGAGGGTGGTCCATTGGCCTTGGTTCCAAAAATACCCTTTCTGCCTTTGTTCATTGTATATGCTCTTCCGCGTGTTGGCTACATGTGAGTTTTCTGCTCCTGGCTGCACTTTACACTGCAGTGTACCATTGGCAGCTTGTTTTATAACTGGTTGTTCTACTGTGAATAGGAATCTCTTCACAATAGTGGTTTACAAGCATTGTTATATTTGAAAGCATTTTTCTTCAAAGCTGGCTTGGAAATCACTTACAGTTTTTCTTCAATCAGCCAGTCCATGAGTAAATACTGCCCCAAAGCAGCTGATGCTCTACTGGCTCTGTGTTGATCTTCTGGTTCTGATATGGCCGCAGGAATGGATTCTGGGGGTTTGAATCTGCCAAGCTGAAAATCCAATTGCTGTGACACACTACCTGAATAGTCAAAGTGATCCAACAAACCCAGAAAGATTTACAAAGCATTTCCACCAAATTTCCATTATTCTTGGCTCTTATCTTCCAAACATGTCTTTGTTGTGCAGTTTCCTTTCTTCCTTGTTGAGAGTCTTGTCCATGATGGGGTGACATTGTCTACACCACAAGTCTCCATGCCCACAGTCTGGGGAAAAAGACATTTCCAGCTCTTCAGGCTAATCTCCCTTGACACAATGAAGAAGTGTGCTTGATTCAGCCAGCACCTGGCTTCACTCTGGGAGCAAGGTTGAACTCAACCAAGATGGCTCAGAGCAGCTGGGCTTGAGATATACTGGGGCTGCATTGACTCCCCTTCTCACATGCTGTGAAACAATTGAGTGAAGCCGGCACATTGGCTTGGTGAATGTTGGCTTAGGCCTCCATATGTGGTCCAGACATTTTCATCTCATGAGTGTGTGGGTCCTGGGAAAGAAATAAAGGAATGTACAGTCATCATTGGCAGTGGAGTATATTACCATTCCACAAGAAAAATGAGAAAAGGTGTGTGCCATTGCCTGAAGGGACAGCATCAACTGGCAGTGTTTGGAGTGGGCAGTGGGGTTGCCCTGATTAGCCAGTGCAGAGTGAGCAAAATTTCTCCTGGAAAGAGTCTCTGCATGTACATTTGTGTTCAAGAGGGTGAACCTGTGTGTGTGAATGCATCCACGCAAACACACCCCTTTTCACTCTCTTGCATGTGCATGCAGGATGTTTATCAATACATGTGTATTGTACACACTGCTTGGGTAAATGTTTTACTTCTTTATAATTTTTTCATAAGGGTGAAGTGGATGAGAGCACAAGTCTGGGTCTCTGGTGATCTGGATTTGAGTCCTTGCTCAGCCAGAAAGCCAACTGGGTGACTTTGGGTCTGGCACAGACACTCAGCCCAGCCTTTGTTGACTGCCTTATTTACACAAATGGGGCTGGTAAGTGCCAATTGGTACAGCCTGGAATGCACACTATGGGTGCAAGAAAACTTGGTGCTGCCAAAAGATGGAAGTCAGCAAATATGCCTAGCTCAATGGCCCACATTGGAAATAATTGGCAAATACAACACTCCACAGGAGAAATCCTCTACAGGGGATCTCTGGACTCAGCTTCACAACACAGGTATGCCTTCCAAACATGGAAACCACCTCAGGACCTATTGGGTTAGTAGCCAGAAGGCTTTCATGGCTTTCCCTACGGAAGGGTAGGGCACTGGATACCTTGTCCCCAATCTCTGAATTACTGCAGAAGTCCCCAAGGGTGCTTGCCCAGACTGCAGAGAGGTAGTTCAAACATTGGTGGAAGACATTGCCAAAGCGGGGTAGGCTACTCATTTCTCTGCGCCATTCTTCCACCAGTTGGGGGTTTCTCAAATCACCAGGGCATTGGAGTGCTAGCCTCTGCATTCATGAAGAAACAGCTCAGCTGTTGTTGTGGAGGCAAGATGGATGGCAGGAGGAGGAAAATGATATAAGCCATTCTGAGGTCTTTAAAAAAGAAAAAGGCGGAATAGAAGTCAAATACATAAATAAGATGCAATAGAAGCATCACAAATGGGCACCATGCAAATCAAATGAGGGTCTTCTGATGTATACTTTTATATCTACATATGCATTTGCATATGTATACATAGTGCTAATTCCTAGGAAATGTGTATATAAGGATGCCCTCCCCTTCTTTCCCACAGCCTAGCCCACACCTGCAGGGGTGAAGTGGGGAGCATATTTTTAGTGTGTTCTTCACAAGGCCTCATTGCAAGTAGAAAGTTAGGGAAGCATGGATTGAACTTGGATCATACTCTCCTAGTGAAGTTCCATTCAAAAAATTTATGGGTATGCACTGAAAATTGCAAATTCCTGTGGTGCATGCAGGAATTCGTATCTGTTACCAAGGTTGCCAGAGAAGGCCCAAGATGTGAGAAGCAAGGTTGCACTGAAACAGGGAAAGTCGTCTCCTTGAAGCTTGACGGATTTCCTGCTCACTTCCAATCCAATGTCAAGTTTCAAGGAGACAAATGTCCAATCCAGTGATTGGAAGTGGGCCAAGGTGGACCGGGGGTGTTGCAGAGAATGACACCCTGTCTTTGCATTGCAAATACTGATATTTCTGGTCTCCTCATTACATGCTTCACCGGCTTTCCCGGCAGTGGCATTTACTCAGGAAAGTTCACTCTTGACTTTTACATTACATGCTTCTTGGTTGCCGCTACTCACATCTGCAGCAAAATGATAAGAACGTGCATTCCTAGCAGTCTTGCTAAGTTCCACCACAAGGGGAGTGCAGGCAGCACTTGTTCTCAGGGAGACAGGTTGGCTTTGCTACCTTGAGGACACTTAAAGTTAGCCAGCAAGTGCATCTGTCCATGTTTGCTCATGCTCACACACACACACACACACACAGAGAGAGAGAGAGAGAGAGAGCCTTGGAATAGACAGAGGAACCTGCTTTAGGATACATTGGTGTAGGGCTGATTCAATACATCTGCGTATATGTTCCCAACAAGGTGTCTTCCTCTTTCCCCTTAATCCTTGTGTTAGATTTGCCCGAGATGTGGCATTTCTATGAGCCTGTGCTAGGAAGCAGCTGCTGTACATTATGAGAAACAGATAGAAAGCTTCCCACTTTGTCCACTAATCTGACAGCTGCACCCAGCTCTGTGGCTTCCTGGCTTCCTCCTTTGGACAGGCTCACAGTCTGTCTGTCTGTCTGTCTGTCTGGCTTGCTTGCTTGCTTGCTTGCTTTTGGTATTCTTATGCCACTCCTCAGCAACTGGAGCAACTTACACAAATGTATTAGTTGAGTCAGCCTCGCCTATTGGCTTACACTGTTGAAAGAAACGAGGAAAGATAAGGGAACCTTGGGAGAGTGAAGATTAATCCCTGAAGAACACAAATGTGAAGACGAATACGACCGTGTCCTTAGTATCTCCTCAAATTGCAGCCAGTAGGCTGGACATGCACATGGTGGGCATGTCGTGAGCAGAGCTGGATGGAGCTGGGGGTCAGACTAGATGGACCAGGAGGACACTTCTGACTCGCTCTGTTTCTATGTTTCTAAATCCGCACCCCTTCTGTATTCTCGGAAGCAGTCTCCTCCCAATTGCTCCACTGTACTACTGAGCTGGGTTCTCCCCTCGCTCTTCCTGGATGTACCTGCATATTTATGGTGCTTCCCAACCACTCCAGCCCCACAGAGTTAAACCAACACTGAACCATGGTTTTACTACAGTTTCTTCACTTCTCCCTCCATCTGTCTTCAGGCTGTCTCCCTGTTTCCAACACTAAACAGGGAGATTAATGCTTCAGTTAGCAAATGTGAATAAGGCAAGCATCGAAGCATCACTTGCTAGCCAGCTAAGGGCAGTAGAGATCAAAAGCTGGAAGGGTCCACTTGCATGGCTGGTCTTGCCAGGGGGTTTCTATGGTGTATTCATTCCAACAATGGCACAATGGTGATCCTAGGTGTTATCAACAAGGGAAGCGACAGTGATGCACAGAAACCTTAGAACATACTGCTCTGTTTCTGTCCTTGTTTTCAGAAAATTAATCCTACCACACAGACCCCATAACATAGATAAATCTATGTTGAGAGATCTCAACTTC